TAAACGGTGCCTTTGGAGTCCGTTTCTGTGCTTGTGGTCGAGTGGCAGGGAGGGTCTGTGAAGGTCCAGCACTTTGTAAAGCCAAATAAAATGGTCATAACCTGGAACAAAGGGCTCATGCAGAATGGCAGAGGTACTTGGTTAGTTGCTATTTCCCTTGTGATAAAAGGTGACAGAATGGGAAGTATGGGAAAACTCAAGCCACAGTTTTCATTACCTGATTCGCATAGTTCAGGGCATGCAGCTGATAACAGCTTACAGCAAAATCTCAAAATGCAAATACCTCTTTCTTTTCATCAGGAGACATGTATGCCCTTAGCCTTTGGAACACAGATACGCAGGGAGAGAGAAGGGGAAGCTTACGGAACTCAATATTTTTGTCTCTGTGTTACACCTACGCTCCCTCTAACACACATTCAGAGTTCACTGTGCAGAAGGGCAATGATTCCCTCTTGCCATCAGTGCTGCAGGTAATCTATTGCATTAATCAGCCAGCTAGTGTGAAATGCATGGGGAGTGATTATACTATCATACACAATACGATCAGCATGAAGCACTTGTCAAGACCAATACATCAAAGTTTAATTCAGTAATAGAATGAATTAGAGCAAAATGAAACATTCTGTTCTCCAAGAAACACAGCACCCATAGCAGGCTTCTTTTTTTTTCTTTTTCTTAAGACTGCATAGAAAAAACAGAGTGCATTAAGGAATTGTTTTTATGAATAAAATTGCAACTTAGATCCAACTGAAAACCAAGAGTACTTTTCCTTGGGGTTCTTGTCGAGGAGAGAGCAGCACTGAAGTGCTTTGCCTATCTTCACTGTTCCATAAAAACAACTGCTTAATTGGCCCGTTCTCCAGGGGAACTCCTGATTATGCTTTGTTCTAATGGAGACCTCGTGGTGCCTGGAGAAGGGAGGTGGTTTTGCCAGTCATTCTGAAGACACTTGTCCTTCTTCCTGAGAAGCAATAAGTATCATATACTGCTGCCTTTGAGGCTTCCAAGTGGCTGGCCCAGTGAAAGTGGGACTGTGTTTAAGTAACAGATGTAAAGCACTTTAAAATGCTTTGCTGACACTTCTATTTAAAGGGGTCATAGGTTCCATCTCCTATTATTGTTCCTATTCTGGCACTTCCAATGCTGTAAAATGATGCTTTTGTAATAGAATTGATTAGGCTCAAATGGGGCACAGTGGCAAGTGTGCAGCAGCGCTAAAGCTGATTTGTCTGCCGCATAAAGGGAATGATCTTGATTACCTGGCTCCATCTTCTTTGAATGGGAAGAATGCTACTAATTTGGTGGTTTATGGGATTTTATTTTGTAAATAGCAGACTTGGATTAATGGGAAGAGCAAAGGGATATGAAAGTAGAGGTTAATCTATAACTTGCTTATTTTAATTTTGCAAATGAACATATTGATCTTAAGTATATTAAATGTAAAATTCCAAGGCAAAGGCCAAGTTTCAGCCCATGATTACTGAGGTGCTGTAAATGAGGATATGCAGACCCCAGCTAAACTGCATATATCATAATATTTCTAGGAAAAACAGATTTCTTGAGAGGACTCTAATTGATCAAGCCGAATTGTAGGCTGAATCTATACATAGCTCAGTGTCCTAACCCACTGTTAAAGCTAGTGGTTTGGGATTGTTTTTCTTTCCCTCCACATTTACTGAGGCAAGAAGAAAATATAATAGGATTTATGGAAACTGAACAATGCTTAATCTCTAAGGAGAGTCTGTATATATTCACTGCGCTTCCTTTAGGTTCATGAATACATGCATACACTGACCATGTAATTATTGCTACACCTACTTTTACAGTCACTGAATACTTTTTAATGTTTTTCAATATGCATGTTTAAATTTTGATCAGTATAAAGGCATGCTGTCTCTCTCCTGAATGAATCCAGAGGTATGGATGTCTACGGAGAAAAGCAAACGTACTCATGTCCACCCGCACACACTGCAGAGAGCTATAAGAGAACCTATTTTTTGTGGTATGAGGTGGACTGAAGATGAATTACTGCAGTGCGGTTCCAAAAAGAGGGCTGTTGTAACCAAAGGCCTGTTTTGGCAAAGCTGACTTTTCCAGGTCAAGAGGATTATTGTTGAACCAAAATAGGCAATGCCTCCCTGCAATGTGACAGTTTTAATATTCATTCCCTTGTGAAATTAATATCAAATTGCAGTCACAGCATGACTTATCTTCCAATTGTCTTGTGGGTAAAAATTTTTGCATATTGGTCGGTGATATTTTGCCTCTCTGCTGTGAACACTTGTACTGGGTCATGCTCAAAGGATCCAAATGAGAATGTTGCTTTTGTTTTGGTAGCAAGTAGTTGTGTATGGGCTGGGGGGGGAGTGTTTCTGTCTTATTGGCTTCTGCTATGAAAGGATCTCTGATGCCTGCGGGGAAGGGGAGACAGGAGAAAGAGAGAAAAATGTCTGAGAGCTAAAAATACAATATGTAAACACAAACATATTCATACTATATTTTTTCCTTTAATGAGGTGGTTGCTCATACTGTGAGTGGCATTGGTGAAATCATTAAATCTAGCCAGACAAGTCAACTTATTTGAGAATACCAGGAATGTATTTTGGGGAGCTTCTTTGAATGTAGTTTCTTGTGATCAGCAATTTACCGGCTGAAGTCCCTAGAAATTGATTTAAATGTGTTTCCCTGCAAATTGCAAGTAGCTGCCCTTGGCTTTTCCATGACCCTTATCTGTAATAAGGGATAAGCATGTTCAGCAGTTTCCCCGTATAGCAGCCATTAGGCAGAAAGAAAATCTCTGGTCTGAGGCCAGTAGAAGCCTTCAGGTCAGTGGTGACATTTAAGGGACAGCTCCAGGGGGCTTCCAGTGAAGCAGTATCGGAGCTAAATAGAAAGATGTCCTCCAGGCTCTTTCTAGTTGGCATGTGGTAAAATCTGGGCACAAGTGAGCATTTTCCTGAGACTCCTCAGTGCTAGAAGCAGGACAGGAACCAGTGAATTGAAAGAGCCAGAATGGAGCAGATGTCAGGGCTCAAGCAAAGGCACTCGGGGAGCAGGAGGCAAGAAATATGAATACAGGCGAATACACACAAAAAGAAAGAAAGAAAAAAAACACAGAACAGCAACCCAAAAAGGCCGAGGAGTGTGGGGTCGTTGGCATTAAGCTTCTCCTCCCAGATGGTTGCCTTTGGAGCGCTACGGGGCGAAGCCCCAGGCTTTTTCTGTTCCCCTCTCTCCTAGACGGGGAGTTTTGCCTGGCCTGCTTTTCCTGCGGGAATGGGGAGCCTGCAAAGCCCCCAAGAGCCTCCTGGAGCCCAATGCCACTGGAGACACCGGAGCAGGGGGCAGTTGGCCTCTATTGAGATTGGCATGAGGTTTATTAGAAATACACTTATCCCTGTGCTTCATTTGCATCAAAATAGCCAGGATTTCCGAGACGGTAGCTGCTAGCGGTGCGGTTATTCTTGGCAGGGCTTTCCTCTTGAAACGAAAGCAATCCCCAAAGGGGTGGCATACACTGGGATGCCTCTTCCAGGTGCCACCCTTTCGGTGCTCCGCAGGCGTGGTGGGCCTGCTGGAGACAGCAAGGGAAGCCCTTGGCCTCTGGTGGCCTCCCTGAGAGGCCAAGGAATGAAAGAGGAGGCACTGTGTAATCAGGAGTGCGTGCTCTGCCTTGCTCAAATAGTCAGAGCAAGTCTTCTGTCAGTCTTCTGTGTTTAAAATACTCCACTTCTCCTTTGCTTCAGCCCAGAAACACTGAGCAGTAATCTGTGATAGTGTAGCATCCCTCTTTGGTGTTCCACACGTCTTTTTTTGAGGTGGTTTTTAGATTTATTTGGTGTTGCTTCCCCATTCTGTGTCACTCTGAGTATCTGGAGACTTACAGCCTTAAGGATCAGGGTCAGTTCCCCCTGGCTCCGGTGTTGTGGCATATCGACACGCTGAGTTACTCGAGGAATGAATGCAATGTGATGGCCTGTGCTAGGGGTATCCATTTTGGATTCTTACTGAGCAAAGTGATATCTGAGTGTGAGAATTTCACTGTCTTGTATAAACCAGCTGCATTTTCATTTTATTTTATTTAGCCTGTCATGAAGATTGCATAGTTTAGGCATATTCTCTAAATCTCTTGTAGTGTATAAAATACATTCTTAATGAGCAAATGAACTGTTGCTAAATAGCACTTTCAGACGTCTTCATGCTTCTGTCAGAGTTCAAGAAGCAGCTGATTTAGAGAAAAATCTTTCCATTTGAAAATTGTTCCTAGAAACCCTTATGTATTTATGCCTGCCCTGTTATGCGGTGTCAGGGAGCAGGTTTCTAAAGTGATGATATGTGTGAAATGTCAGCATGAATTAGCTTTCCCTTAGAGCTCTGTAAAGAGAAAATGTAAAACAAATTTTTCAGTGTAACCAAATTACTGAAGTAATTGCAGTAAAAATGTCTGTCGCTATTAGACCTCACAGAAACAGTACTGAGTAGGTCTCCGAGATCCAGATGTGATTGAAAATGTATTATATGATGAGCAGTACTGCTGCTGGGTTTTGCACATGTATATATGTGTACAAAATACATGTTTTACTAACGCACTTACTTGGTTTCTGTAAAGCAAAGCTGGGAAATATTTATTTCTTTTTCTTAGAAAACAAGATTTACTTTGGGTACAAAACTAAAATAAAAGCTAAGGTAATTTCCTGCCCTTACTGTATGCAAGTTCTTGTTTGCTCTTGACTGATATTCCTCTCTGATGAGCTATACACTGTGAAGACCTACTTAATGTCTTTTGGTTAAGAAAGTTGGCTTGGTGCAGCCTTCCAACTGGCCACATTGTCTCCATGATTCAGAGTCAAGAATTCAGTCTATCTGCAATTAGGTTTATGTGGGAAGCGAAGTGTAGCTTCTGAGGGGAGAAAACATATTACAGTATAGAAGTTTGAAGTTAGTCATTGGCTGCTGCGTTTTTAATAGAAAACATAATTTAGCAATTTTTTTAAAATCAGGTGCTCTGTGGATGTGTATAGTCTTAAATCCCCACTGCAAGTTGGAGCAGAAGGCCAGTTGGCTAAAACAGCTGAAAAAATGGAACAGTGTGGATGTTTGTCCCTGGGAAGATGGAAACCATGGAAACGAGCTGCCCAATTTAACCAATGCTTTGCCTCAGGGTGCAAATGCTAACCAAGGTGAGCCTAAACATATGCACTGACTGCAACATATACTATAACCTCTATCTTATGTACCCTAGCCTTGCAGAATTCAACACACTTTCCTGGGATGAGTGACTTTCTTGTTGAAGATTGACCAGTCAAGTGTCAGTTTATTTTCACTAATGCTGGGGTTGCAGTGTTTTCAAAGCAAGTATTTGTGTTTAGTTAGATCTTCTAACTTTTCACTTAGTCCTTCTAAATATTTGTTACATTAAAATCAGATGTCCTTGAAGTATGTCATGTAAAACCCTGTTGTTCCTTTGCTTGAGCTATAATCTTATATCCCTTCCGGTGTCGGGGTTTTCATTGTTTGTAGTTACAAAGCCTTTGATTCTTATTTAAAGAGAGATCCTGTGCAACTGAATTAAATTGGGTATGCGAGAAACTAAAGCAGCTCTTTGTGGTCTGCAGTGTGTGGCTTGCAGCCTGCGCTGCCAGGTGAGTGTCGCGTGCGGAGGCAGTGCCCGGCCTTCGTGGAGGAGGTGTCTCTACTTGCTCAATATCAGGCTCTGTCTAATCTAAAATGCAGTTACCAAATCTGACGGAAGCCCTGTCCACTACTTGGCAAGCAACAGCTGCTGCTTTGCTAGTTGGGCAAGATGCAGAATATTTAACTGTGAAAAAAAAACCCTTCTTATAGCAATAAGATTTTGGTACATATTTCATACAATTATGATAAAGTTAAAATTAAGTGCTTGTTTCCTATGGCAGAGTTGGGCTTTCAAGGGTTTTTCCTTATTTCTTTTTCTTGGAAAACTACCGTGGAAGGACATAGTTAGATTTCGTTCCTTTTTAAATCTCACAGCTAGTTGGGGACAGAGTTCATTCAACATGTAACTCCCTGCAGAGGTGCTTTTCTGTCTGGATCTGTTTGTGTTCAGCCCAACCTGGGCATCCTGGCAGCAGCTCTGATACGGGGTCTCAATGCTCATAGACAGGGCCATGTCAAGAGACTGCTTTTGCCATAGGAATATTTCCAATGGGCATTGTGCTAGCTCCATGGTTTCAGTGCATCCTTTACAGTATTATGTATGTTTATGACACAAAATTATATCCATGGTGTTAGAAAAGTTGATGTCACTTCTCAAAGAAAGCAAGTAGAAGTCCCTTGAATGATGCTTGTCCATCCCTCATTCTCGCAGCTGTGGGAGAAGCAGAGAGGTTGGGAGCGCTTACGTTGCTGTGTGCTGTACAATTCCTAGTTTATAGTTAGGGGTGTTCTGTACACGCTTTTGAATGCCCTTCATCTTTAGCTGTTCCCTTGGCAAAGTCCTATGTAGTGTTAGTCTTGCTGTTTTGTAGCCGTGTCTTTCTGAACGCAGAGCGGATGGCGCAGCCTGCGTCCAGTCCGCTCGGCGATGGGATGTGAAATGTCATCTGCAGCCTGCGCCTTGCGGAGGGGGGCCAGGCTGGCCACCACGGGCTGCGGGCGGAGAATAGGCAGCCGACAAGAATACTGTGAATGACTTATTCATATGTGAATGAGTAAGAGCTGATGCAGCTTTCTGAACTTGTGAAAATGACAGATTCATCGAACAGGCCGCATCGGACGGTGTTCACGCGAGCCATTGAGGCATGCGACCTTCACTGGCAGGACAGCCACTTGCAGCACATTATCAGCAGTGACCTATACACCAACTACTGTTACCATGACGACACTGAAAACTCGCTCTTTGACTCTCACGGGTGGCCCCTCTGGCATGGTAAGTGGCTAAACCGGAAAGACGTTTCCATGACTTGCTGCTTTGTTCTGTTTCTATGGCATTATTTTGGGGGGATGGTGGGGACATGAATGAAAAGCCTGGCAAAAAGAACAGAGGCTCCCTTCAACTGCTGCTTCAGAAGTAGTCTTTTAAGTCTCTTTTGCATAATTTTAAAAACAAAACAAAAAAACACAAACAAAAAAGCCCTTTTGAGTAACCCAGCAAAACAGGCCACAGCAGACATGGAAGCATTGCTATTCCCCAATTATTTTTTCCATTTCAGAACATGTTCCTACAGCCTGCGCGAGGGTGGATGCATTACGATCTCACGGATACCCAAGAGAAGCACTGAGACTAGCAATAGCTATTGTTAACACACTAAGAAAGCAGCAGCAGAAACAGCTGGAAATATTCCGGGCGCAGAAGAAAGGTAAATGTGAGCAAGAGGCACGGGCAGAGCGCAGCACACCGTGTCGGGACACTCGAGCAGACCTTTGTGGGAGAAAACTGGTTTTGAAACTAAGGAAAAGAGTTGATTCTAACTCTTAATTGCAAATGACTGTGGTGGTAATGTAACTTTCTGGATGTCAGGTTGTGAGTTCTCCAGAGCCAGGACTGTGTTCTGCTGCTTGTGGTACATCCAACATGACTAGACCTTTATCCCAATCAGGGTGTTTTGTTACACAGTGTAAATATGCCTCTGTGTAATTTGTAAGCTGTTAAATAGAGCCTTGTATTCAGTGTGTCAGGTATTTTAAGTCATTTTTTCCCTCTCCATCATAGTGGAGAGCTGAGCTGTGTGTTTCTGAAATGGAAGCATAGGCTGACAGGTGATACCGAAGCAAAGTCTGTGCTACAGAAATGCATCAAATTCAACAGTTTGTTCCAAAAGAGTCTCTTATTATACTAAGAATTTTACTGTTTATGAACAGAATTCGATTGATGCCACTGAAAAGGAGGTTTGGAATGACCATTGTTTTATAAGATCCCCCGTGTTCTTCCTTTGGATATCGTTTCTATGCCATGTGGCCCTTCCTGTTCAAAATAATCACGCATTGAACTGCATTGTAAATTTGAGGTAGCGGGGGAGGAAGGTTTGACTTTGTGTTAAAGAAAGGCCATAGAAAATGATCAATGATCTCAACTACTGTAAGAACATGTTAATTCTAATTTTATTTTCCATCCTAGTTGCTACTCTTAACCATAAATATCCTCTGCAGTGGGCAGTCATGTGTGTAATTTTTTTAAGTGCAAGTGAAGGTATTTACATAGGAAAAACACATCTAGAAGTATGAGTGAAGACAAGGTAGGCACCTGATGAAAAAGAAAGTAGCTGGCAGTTCCTCTACGCTTCAGGTTTTGTTTGCCATCGCCCAAAGTGCAGGCAGAAATGTTGTGCTTTCCCAGATTTAAACAAAACTTAAAAACAGTTGCAAAAACTTTTCTGTATGATTTCATCGCATAACTTGTCTTCCCTTAGCACCCCATAGCTTCTCAGCTTTCTGAGCTAATCAGTTTGGGGACCGGGGAAGGAGGGTGTGTGTATGCAGGCGCTACTGACACGTGTGAAGGGTCTGCTGGTGTCCGTAGGAGGTATGCTGGTGACAGGACTTCTCCTTTCTACTCCCAGTAACTGCGTGTCTGGGCATTTAGTATTTCTGTTAAGTTCCTCTTCCATGTGAACAATTTCCATAACTATCAAATAATATTATCATATTGCAAATAAAAATGGAGTATGTGAAATGTGTGGTCCAACCTACCTTGAAACAAAAAGGTTTGTCATTTTTATGTTGTCAGTCTGCTTGTTTTTGTTTTTCCCTCTCTCATGTTTGGAATTTTTAAATACTCTTTTAGTATTCTGAAATGTGTTGGTCATCTCAAAGCAGATGAATTCTACAGGTTATCTGCAGCCTAGCTTTAGGTTTCAGTTCAGCAAACACCACATGCTTCTACTTAACTTTTATTTGTGTGGCTGATTTGACCTCCATAGAACCACTTGAATGATGTGAAGCCAAACGTGTACATGTGACTGAAGCCTCTCTTTGGCATGACACAAGTGAAGCTCATAAGCCATAAGCTACATAAGAGTTAGTAACAAGAGAATGTGATTATTTTTTTCTATTAATATTACTTGCTTCTGCCTGAAAGCTTTAGCACATGCTATTTATTAGCAAGATGATGATTCACTTTTTTTTTTCTTATTCCGTATCAATTCTCCACAAAAAAAAAAAAAAAAAAATTTTCCTTCAATTCTCAGTTCAACAGCTCACTAGCTGTATTTCATCATGTAGCTCCACACATTTAAATAGAGAGGAAACAGACTCTCTAGTGTCTTAAAACTGTGGTATTAAACATCAGAAAGATGAGTAAGAGAGCAGAGGCAGATACATGTTAGTCTGTGGTAAGTAGAGAAACGTGACATCCATAAGGGCTTGTACACCGTTTTTAAATGGTCGTCCTTAATGCATCTGATCTGTCATAATTCAGTAGTGAATAGAGGAAACAAGAATTGGAATCAAAGGGAAGTTACAGTCATAAGAGTGTTCATAAAAGGGGATTTGGGAGACCTATTAATTCTTTTAGCACCATCATACTTCCTTCAGTTCATGGTGTTGAACAGTAACTTTTTTATGTTCTCAGTGATTGGTGAAGCCTACAAAGCAAAGTAGCTTATAAGGTGTTTTTTTGACTGAAATTTTAGATTGATAAAAACGCACTTGATCAATTTAAAGGGCAAATTCTTGTATACCTCATTTAAACTTCTTATCTTTTTTGTAAAGGAGCTGTCATTCTGAATTTATTGCCTCAATAAATACTTAGATTCAAGATCAGTTTGTGTGCTATTTATGGAAATAGAACATACTTTAAAGTATTTTCATTTATTTCTCTCAGGGCCATCAGATTAACTGAAAACGTATAAATGGTACTGTAACTTTTGAGTGAGGAGATAGTGGTAGAGTTTTACAAAAAATGAAATTTTTTTTAGCAGACATTTTCAGAAATCTTAGTAGCGTCTAGTAAAAGGTGGCTTTGCCATTGAGATTTTTGACCCATAGTGGACTTTGATAGTGCTTAAATGATGTTTGGCCTTCATTCTTTTGTTTTGTTTTGTTTTTAACATAATCACAAAGGGCAGTATATTTGACCTAAAGCACATTGTTTTCTCCTTCTAAGCAGAGACTACTGAGAATACTTGGAATGTTGTACTGAAAGCATTTTAATAAGTTTTACATTGTTTTGAATGGCTGAAATTCACTCTCTCCCCTGATGCCTCCTCCTTTTTTTCCGAATACAGAACTTCTGCACAAAGGAGTAACCTCAATAACGAACTTGGAAGGTTGGGTGGGACACCCCTTGGACCCGATCGGCACCCTCTTCAGTAGCCTGATGGAAGCGTGCCGGGTTGATGATGAGAGCTTCCATGGATTTGCAGACTTCACGGGTAAGGGTGTGCCAAGGGGGCTGTCTCACATAGGTCTTGAGTAACCAAGGACATTTTACTTCTCCATTCAGAATTAACTTTGAAAACAGTGTTTTCGAACTTTCGGAACTCAAATTCTCCTTCCCTAGGGAAGCAGGAGGGACAGAAAGTGTTTGAAGTTTTGTTTTAAATTAAGTGAAAACACTTCAAAAATCACCACTATTCATTCTTGAAAAAAATTCTCTATTGCACACTTCATAGAATCACAGAATGCTTAAGGTTGGAGGGGACCTCTAGAGATCATCTAGTCCAACCCCCCTGCACATGCAGGGTCACCTAGAGCACGTGACACAGGACTGCGTCCAAGCGGGTTTGGAAGATCTCCAGAGAAGGAGACTCCACAACCTCTCTGGGCAGCCTGTTCCAGTGCTCTGTCACCCTCATTGTTAAGAAAGTTTTCCTTGAAATAAAACCAAATAAACTTTGTAGCAGCCACTCTTGCCACTTCCACTACTCTGCTATGTTTCTTAGAAATTATAGAAGATATTTGAAGTAGATGGTCTATTTGGTCTTTAAAGAATATGAATTGGAAGGGAGTGCTTCAGAATGAGGACATGATTTAGGATGCATCTGCCCATTTTAATCAATATTTGCCTCCCAGGAGCCTGACTGATTCATACCTTATCCACTATCTCTTTCTATCTCTGCAGTAGTTTTATTGTCTTCTCTGTGGACAAAAACAGGATTCGACCATCTCCCTACAGCTCTTCTAAATGTGTATCCCACTCTCTTTGGGCTTTGGCTCAAATTTCATTTTATTCAGTTAGGTTTCCTTCAATTAGATTTTCTTCACTAAGCTTCTACTTTTCATCTCCACCACTTCTGGAAGAGCTTTTAAGTAAAGTATCAGAAATCAGATTGCTTGCAATTAGGAAAAAAACGAATGAAAATAAAATAGTGTGTGTTGAAAAGTATCCTTCCTCTGCACACACAATCTACTGAATGCAGGACGCCTTCTTGTTTGCTGCACTTGCCCATTTCCTTACATCTGTCCGTAATAACTCTTTTGTTCCTAAATTAGACTGTAAACTGGTAGAAGTTGGAATAAAGTTTTGTCATGTGTTAGATCTATACAATCTGCTGAAGCAATGGTACTCCTTAAAACAATTTATGTCTAGATCTGTATGGAATTTGCAAGTAATCTTTACTATTTACTTTAATAAAAGTCTCTTAAGCCTTTTATTGGAAATAACATCTAGAAACATACACGTTTATCATAAATATACCTGTAACATTAAAAAAAACCCCACACTTAACAGAGCTCTGATATGCTTAAAAGGCCTATTGTATTTGCAAAATCATAATAACTTCAGAGTTAAATCTGTGCTGATATATGAGCAGCCATCCCTTTCTACTTTATGCCACAACGAGGCTTTAAGTACATACAGAAACTAGTGGAGAAAAAAAAAAGAAATGGATTTTCTAAATTCGGTCTCATTAAAATAGAACTAATAAAACTGCCTTACTCTATATGATGCATCTTAATTATGAAAGCTTTTATTTTGGTGTCCCTGCTTGAGCAGGGGGGTTGGACTAGATGATCTCTGCAGATCCCTTCCAACCTCAACCATTCTGTGATTATGTGATTCGGTGTGATTTTTTTTTAATTATTTTGTATATTTCCTCCTTGTAGAATTGAATTGGGTAGTTTACATTGAATCATTGGATTTTCAGATTTATATAATTAATTATATTATTAAAAAAAGAATACTGACAAAGGAAGCATTTGTAAATGTGGGATTAGGCAGATTAGACAGATCTGTGTATAGACAGATTATGGATTGGAGGCATTTTTTGATGTGTTATTCTTTTTGTGTCACCCTTTACAGAGAACATGGGGCAATGCAAATCTCTGGAGTACCAGCACCTGCCTGCACATAAGTTCTTAGAAGAAGGGGAATCTTATTTAACGCTGGCTGTGGAAGTAGCATTGATAGGGCTGGGACAGCAACGAATAATGCCAGATGGCTTGTATGCACAAGAGAAGGTTTGTCGAAATGAGGAGCAGCTCATTTCTAAGCTACAGGAAATTGAATTGGATGATACTCTCGTGAAGATTTTTCGAAAACAAGCAGTCTTCCTATTAGAAGGTAGCTCAATATAGATGCTAACTACTTCTTTAAACTGTCTTCATTTACAAAACCCCACAGAACGCTTCCTCTGGAAGATGACTTCCAAATAAGCTGTTTTTCCAGCAAAATCTCCTTCCCAGTCAATACAACTCAAGTATCACATGACTGTAGAGATAAGGCATTTACTAACGCCCCTTAATTTTAATTTTTATTGCATTTTGTTCTTTAGATTTGATGCTCGTCATCAACTCAGTGTCCTAATTATACAACCCAGGCCCATAATTAGATAATAAAGTCATTGATTATCATCAATAATTCTCAGGTAGCCAAATTCTTAATTCACTTTTAGTCTGGAAAGGGACGGGTGACCTCGTAAAAGATGAAGATTTTTATCTCACCTAAATTTACAGCTGATGGTACAGAAAAACAGCAACTTTTTTTTTGTAAGAATTAGAAAAAAAAGTGTATCATACATGAAAATCTAAATGCGTGGTGAAATATTGAGAGTTGGGTCCTGATTTGGTGACTAAATTTTGGCTGAGGCAAGCAATTCATGTTTGGGAGTGATCATAATGGATTGCTTTAAAATGAGTAGAAAAAAATGTATGTTTTGCCTCAGCTTTAAAAAGGTCTTAATATGTAGTACTTAAATCTCCTCTTCAGAGGGTTCTGAGGTTCTCTTCCTAATTTTTGTTTTTTAAATGGAAGAAAATACTTCAAAGCAGTCAAATAGTCCAAGGCATGGTCCAAGTTTTTGATTGCTTGCTTAAGGGACAGTGGAGAATGCAACGGTGCACTAGCGGGTTTTGAACAGTTATACAGGTCAAAGAATTTTTGATTGCTTTCTGTAAGAAATGTGTCTTTTAAAACTTCTTCCTTATTAGAAGTGATGCTGTATGTTGGTTAGGCCTCTTAGCTTTGAGTCTATTATTGCTCAAAAGACTTTGGCCCCTACTGATGGTGCCATTTGAAACTGCAGAGAAGCTGCATCACAGTGAGAGTTCCCATTATGGTGCAGGTCTGCTGCTGTTTTATGGCCTTTGGACAAGGGCAGCTACACTCTCGATCCAGCTATTACCAACCCCCATATCCTACGGCTTATTGAATCAATTTGCTGCATTTATTTACTGTCAAGGATATTTCATAAAGGAAAAGCAAGGTTTATCTCAAGTGTTCCCTGATACTTCCAGTTCACTATTTTGATCACTGATACTCTTTTCATGATTGCCAAGAGTAGTAAATGAATGATCATAGTGGGGAATCTGCTGAAGTAACTGCCTAGGAAATTGCTGTAGTGAGAAACATGTGACGGGTTCAAGTATTGTTTTACTGTGCACTAGGAAATCTGGCTTTCCTGCAGTAGCTTAGGTTTACTCCAGGTTAGACAGAAACTGTCAGCTCCCATGGAGGAAAAACTATGCAGCGATTTAAGATCCTAATCATAGCAATTGTATTTTTATAGTTAAAGACCTGTAGATGTAATAAAGAAAGCTTAATCCAATATTAAGCTGATTTCTAGCCTGTTAATATAGATTAATGTGTACTGCGTGTAGTTACCATTTGAATGCGTGGGAAAGCAGAAGATAGACTCTATTGCAAGAACTGCTCTGTTTTATTTTTTGCTTGACTGCTATGTTAACGATGGGACATATTTACATATAGATGCCTGACATGCGTTACTTATGTCATAATTTACCTCTCTTGGCTGGACCTCCAATTGGCAAACGTGTATGAAATGGCTCCCTACACTGAAGCCATGTGAGATGGTTTTGAATGGCTTTGAACTTCATTTCCAGTGACTATCCAGTGGCTAAAATCTTCAGTGACATTATTTTGTAATCTGCCCCAGTCTTCAGAGACATCCACGTGTAGAGTTGAGATTTTTATCTTTGTATGTTCTGCTAAGACATCAGTAAGAATAATATTGCTGAATCCATGGTGCTGATCTAAGTTGTTACTGCCCCTCATGAAGTTCCTCAACCTGTGCAGCAGACATGGCTAAGTGAGCTGCATGAGTTCTCCTCATCTGCTCCAGTGCAGGGTTGTGCACATCAGTCTGAACGGCCGCTGGAGCCCATTCAAAAGGCCTGTGTGACTGCAGTGAAGGAGTGGTGTGCTCACACAGTCATTCATCTAATGAAGTGTGGTGGGCTGAGATCTCTAGAAGAGGAAATTCTCCTCCTGTAGTAAATTTTGTAACTCCTGGCTGCTATCTGTGCAAAGTTATCCTATAATACTTAGTTGAAGATTCTTATCCTGTATCTTGCAACATTTAATGCTTCAACCTGTAACTGCTGACATAAAAAAACCTTCATGACACAATTTTCCTATTAACAGAAACAACAGCCTTAATATTTCAGGAAAATATATGAAAATGGGATTCACAGGCATTGTGAAGTTTAGAATGCAATAGGCAATAGCTGGATTTACTTCTTTTTAAAATCATCTCATCCCTTGCTAGTCCTAGAATTACTGTTGGGAGGTTGAAGTAGTGCGCTGATTGCACTGAGCGCGAGCAAAATTGGCAGCTATGGGTATACAGTGGGCTTTCTCAAGGGCAAATATAAACTCCAAGACAATGTGACTGTAAGGGACTAAAACTGGCTTCAGCAGAAGATCTGATCCAGTCTTCTCTGGGGACCGAGGCACAGAGTTATTTAAATGTCTAATATCAGATTAAATTAATAGGAATTAGGTGCTGCAGTAGTGATTGGTTACATAATTACTATGGAAGAGATGTGCTTTTCCAGTGCAAACATTTTCTGGTGGAGTTGTGATCAACTATTCATGCACCATTGGACAGTGCGCGGGGATTTATGCATACAATATAACTGTGCAGAGGCAAAGCAGGGATTATCACCTTCCACTTTTGCATGCCATAAACTTGTTGAATAAGCCCCACGGAGCACTAGAACCATTCAGTCATTTGTATTGGCACTGGTCGTGCGCTTGCTACTGTGCAGTTTGCAGGCTGTTGTTTCTTTGTCTCAAAGAATATACGGCATGTAATATATATAAGCATTTCCCCCAAAATACCAATATAGTTTTAACTCTTGTGCAGCAGTCTCTGTCTCTGAGCACCAATTACAATTCCAAGGCATAGTGTTTTTAAAGGTCTGGAAGTTTGCAGGGGGTTAACACTCTGTAAAGGTTGTCATTCTCTTTCACACAGCTGGACCCTATAGTGGTTTAGGCGAAGTCATCCATCGAGAGAGCGTTCCAATGCACACATTTGCCAAGTATCTCTTCACCTCTCTCCTACCTCATGATGCTGAATTGGCATACAAAACTGCACTCAGAGCCATGCGGTACGTATTCACAGCTTGTGTGGGGACAGAAAAAAAAAAGTGTTTGGAAGAGGGTATGGAAATCACACTGGGTCTTTTGTTCGAAAAGAAGCATTGTTCCAATTAAGGAAAAATTACTTTAGTTCTGTCATCTATAAAAGCAGCAGAAGTGTGTGGAAAGTACAGTATAAATGTACAATTAAGTGTTTATTTCCTATTGTAAAACAGAACTCTGTTCTAAATCCTTCCTTCCAGGACTGCAACCTTGAGGAATGAAACTTCCTGTTAGACAACAACAGTGTTAGCACATGTGTTCTCTCTTGTATGTGTGGTGGTAACAGTGGGCAAATGAGGAAGGGGGTATCTCACCAGCGGCATGACTCTTCTTTATAGGAGGAGATGTCAGGTCTGAGGATCTCCTGCTGCATAGCCTGTTCCGCAGGACTCTCTGTTTCACCAGCCTCCGTTATAAATTAACTCTACATAGTAGACCGCACCATATTGTGTGGTCTGAACCAGTAAATTTTGTGTGTGCTTCATCACTAAGCAGTCTTGCACACGTGGATTTTAAATGGAATGTATCGTATGACAACAAAATGTCTGACTTACCTCATTTGTCTTTGGTAGTTAGGAGAAAGTAGCTTCTTAGGGAGAGATCACTGAGTGCTGGCCTTAACTCAGGGAAGGCTGAATTGTTAATGGTGACTAAGAAAGCCACCTGAAGGAAGTTTCAGCGGCTTAAATGATAAATGGTAAATCCATGCTGTCTGTACACCGTGCTGGGAAGTAACTAATCCCAAATGGATTGCCTTAGATTAGGTTGCTGTCAAGAACTTGGAGTAAATGGTGGTTGACAAAGAAGAGCCACAACTGATTACTAGGAGCATATCAAGTTCCAGAATAAAAATGAGTACTGAGTTTTTTCAGGTCATTGTTATCAAGAGTGACTGCATTGTGGTTGAAGGACATACTATCCACATAAGTGCTTTTTAAATTACATGCATATTAATCAAGTTATATTTTGGTGATTTGTAGATCCATAGTCTCTCCAGAAAGCAAAATAGAAGGAGAAATAGTTTTATATTCAAAGGACTAAAATGGAAGGCATGCTTACCAAACATAGCTATTAACAGGTCAAGACAAAGGTCTCTTTAACCTGATAATTGTTGTGATGAATGCCCAGTAATAGATGTTAGGGAAGGTGTCTAGATGTGCGGAGAGTATACTCATATGCTTGCTGCTTATGATCAGCAATTTAAGCATTATATTAAGAAAAAATAACTGCATTATTGATGAACTGTGACAACATTTTTATGTAAGATCAGAAAGTTGACTAGGCCATTTAAATACAAGTAAATGTATCTACAACCCTGATCATATCAGGCCAGCAAGCTAATACAAAATGTGCATTAAAAAAAAAAATGACAGGTCTGTTTTTTATGTGTGAGATAAGGTGTGTATGGAGACTTAAGATGCTAAACCGTGCTGAAGAGGTGGAATAGACATCCCTGCCCTCAGCAGTTCGACACAGTGCACTGAACGCTTCAGTGGAAGTGAGACCAATGTGCCATTCCTCTCCAACAGGGACTTGAGATTTCCGCAGAAACAAATCATAATGGAAAACAAATTTTGTGACAAAACAAATGTGAAAAAAAAAGTTCCTGAAAGATTCAAGACGATGAAATCTCCAGTTAGTCTTGGAGAGTTCCAGCCATCTTTTGGCATGAAGATCTCATCTCATCCTCAGAAGTTAATTCTCAAACAGACCAGAATCAGGAGGAGACATCTGTTCTGTCCTATCTGATAGAACCACAGGAGACACCAGCATAATTGGGGCCGTTTTCCTTGACCCCTTTTGCCACCACTTTGTAAAGCATGTGAGACTTAATCTCTAGACAGTGATCGGTCTCTATAGTTTGGTATTTGGCACTCTTCAGATATGAGGACTTGCTGCCTTGAACTGCAGTGATGGCCAGTGCAGACACTTGCTAATCCATGTCTCAGCACTGCTCAAAAATTCTCTTAAAGAAGATTATACTTTCCATTGACACCTAGGAGAGCTCAGTGGTTCAAAGGAAGGAAGGAAAAAAAAGAAAAAATGAACTTCTGATATAAACAAATAAGAAGCTAATTTCATGTTGATTTAAGTGAGAAAGAAGAAAACGAACATGAAGATTGAATAGATATTCAATGGTTGTAAGGTGGGACTGCTCATAAGAATAAAATTGGCTCAGCTCTTCCTCCCTGACAGGGTGGAAATTGTTATGGTGTGGATGAAAATCTTAACTGGAAGTTTTATACATAGATCTTTTTGCACAGCTACTTGCTTTTAGGAATATAGCATCTTTCTTTCTTCCTCCAACATATTTCAAAAAAGTTAACTTCCGAGGACCATGTCATAACTAGCTGCTCTTAATGGATAGAAGTTGGTCTAAATATGAGAGGGGTCAGCTCTGAATTTTTTGTCTTTCTGCAATAAAATCTGTTACCTCATTTTTTGGAGTTGTTTTTTGAGTGTGGAAAATTCAGTATGATGTCCGTGGAAGCTGAGACCCTACTGCCTTTCATACACCTCAGCTCGGAAAGGACAATGTGTGCATCTTTGGTGGTCACTTCTATCTGGAGCTGTCTGCTTGCAGCACTGAAACATATGGAGTGGAGGTTTGGAGAATGTGGATCTACTGTGACCTAGTTGACTGCTCACTTGAAATCTGAACTTGAATATTTGGCTTAGTTTGGCTGGTCCCATGTCAAACCTGAATTTCGTCTGGGCTTTACAAGCCAGTCTTTAATGACGTTTAATCATGAGGTAGCTTTGCTAAACTATCAAAATATTTGATGTTTGAAAGAAAAAGAAAGTGAAGAATGCTCAATCTCCTGCAGCCTGTGCTTGTTCTGATGCTCCCTAATCTTGCCAAAATTACATGAAAGCCACCAATTCACAACAGCATTTCTTTTCACAGCAAAGGAACATAGAAGGCTGGCAGTGGAATTCAAACTGACAAAAGATTTCCCCAAAACAGCCTCTTCCTTTCATGCTCTTTGTGTATTTAGTGTTACACATAACCTAATAATCCCTTTTGCTCTGTTTTTGAAACCATTTAGTAATACATTTTTTTCCTTCTCTCTATTCTTGGAAAATATCAACTGAAGAATTTATATGTATTTTATTTTTACCTATGTAAAGCTAAAGAAGTTTCTTTGTGATACTATGGAACTGATTTGACTTCTAATACAAATTAAAAGTGAAGTTAGTTGAGTTTTTTTTCATACTACTGTGCATCATATGCTTCAGAAAATGTTAGCACAATCTGCTGATGGCTGTTTACAAGGTGCGTTATATTTATATATGCCTGCTAGATTCCTGAGCTTATGTTCAAAATGATATTTCTCTGCAGATTCTTAAGGGTATACTTGTATGCCTCAGGGACCTACACAAAACCGATGGACTTTCTTCTGCATCTTAAATCTGTCTTAAAAGTCTCCATTCTTGCTGTGAGAAAACCTCAGGCATTCCGGTTACTTAAAGCACTTAGGTATTTATTTATGTGAAAAGAAAATAGTACAACTTATTTAAATCTGCTCATTCCATAAGAAAAATACTATTACAAAGCATCGCAATGAAGTAGATTTTTAATATTATTCAGTATTTTTGATATTATTGACAAATAGATCCAGCTTCCTTTGTCCTCCTAGGTGATTTCTGGTAAGAAGTCACTTGGATATGAAAACTGGTAGAAACGGAAGGCTGGATCACAATCAGATTTTAGAGGCTCAAGGCCAATGCATCCGTAAAGCAATACGACTGCATCGAGTTTGCTCACGTGGACTTTTGAGATAGGGTGTGAGCATGTAAGAGATCATCTTTATGTGATAAGTGCGAGGGAGTTATATTGAATACACCTAGACTGAGACAATCTACAGTATATCTGTTCTGAAGATACACCTTTATCTGCAGCTCCTGCAGAAGTAAGCTAGCTTTGCTCCTGATGATGATATAGCTGGCTCAGCTGAGAGGTTCAGAATGGTCTTCAGAAAACTTCTGAGAATTCAAACGTATCTATGGTTCACTTGCACTAGGTTTGCGCTAGTTACTTTAGACCTAGCCTGGGTTGTGTCCACATGAACGGTGGATTGGATTATATTACATAATAATATTTGGAAGGCTAGAATTTAAGGACTTTGAACATAGTTCATAGTTGTAGAATAAAATGTACCTTTTTGTGTCTGAATTTATTGCAAAATCAAAATCAAAACAGCTTATTGAATAATCCTGCCCAGTTTCTCTGCTACACAATTTTCAAGTGAAGAAAGTTGCACTTGCATATGGAGTAGTATTGAAAAATATTTACATGTTCTGAGTACGAATGAGAACTTCTCCGCTTCCCTGGAAGGGTTGTGATTCAAAGCCGAAACAACAACAAAAAGGCAATAGCACTATAGATCATGAGAAAGTCTTTGTTGCCTTGGCTAACAAATAGCTTAATTGTCTGGTCAGTTCCTGTAGGTGCCCACTTCTATAGCCAGGTTTGGATAATAGCCTTTTAAGCTTCCCCCCAAAAGTAGTAAATTGCGCTATATCCCTTTTTGTACCAAAAAGAAGCACATTTCTTTCTTTCTTCCTTTTTTTTTTTTTTAAGAGTATATTTGTGGCTGCAGTTTGCTCTTGGATAACCAAATGTAATGACGATTGAAGAGGGTTTCTTCTTTTTTTTTTCAGTTTGCTAGTATTATCTACAGCTCCATCAGGAGACATGTCCCGCCCACACCACATTGCATCAGTTGTTCCAAACCGGTATCCCCGCTGGTTCACCCTAAGTCACATCGAATCCCAGCAGTGTGAGCTGGCATCAACCATGCTAACAGCAGCCAAAGGTACAGTGCTGTCAGTTACGTACTCAACTAAATGTATGTTTTTAATAATACATAGAACAAAGAGATTTTAAAACCTGTGTTGAGGAATCCAAATTGTAGTCTGACAGTAGTGTGAAATTGCAACAAAAAACTGAACTAACTTAAGCCTGTCAATTTCCTAGCAAAGTAGTTAGCTTTGTGAGAGCCAGATCGACTTGATCTGAGGCTGATGAGACAGCCGTTTGTTCTTCTGACATGGTGTAGACTCTGAGATCCAGGAGTGGACAAATCACTTCCAGAAATCAGAAATCAAGATGACTTTCTGGCCTGTACTGAACTGGCACCACTAGGTTATAGTGCAATTTGTGCTGTCCTGTGCCTTTTGTTCATATATGATTTAATTACGGAGGGCTTATAAAAACAAAATGTGTGTAACAGAAACACCATACTGTAGTAGTGACAGGCTCAGTTTTAATGCAGCTCTGGATATTTTGGACGGTTATTCCATTTTGGTGAATCTGTTTACACCTTGCAGGTGATGTTCAGAGGCTGGAAACAGTGTTAGAATCCATCCAGAAAAATATCCACTCCTCATCACACATCTTCAAGCTTGCCCAGGATGCATTTAAAATAGCAACACTCATGGACAGCTTGCCAGACATCACTCTTCTGAAAGTTTCTCTGGAGTTGGGCCTTCAGGTATTTCCATTGCTCATTATTGCTATAGTAGAAGACAGGAATTTGACCCTGCCTTGATGGGTCAGCTCTGTTGAAGTCACTGAGGACCATATGTGCTTGGGCTGTGTCCGGAGCGTTTGCTGGTGTTGACTTCAGTGCAGCTGGCTGGTGAACACAAAGCGAGGGCGCCTGGGCCCTGCGGGCGGGACAGGCCTGTGAGCGGCCTGCGGGCGGCTGGTGGCGCTGGCCTGCGCGGTGCTCACTGAAGAACAACGCAAATGCCCTCAGCAGTGTATTCAGCGGGGCTAGGGAGCACGGTTGCTTTGCATGCCAGAAAAGTGAATATGAAGAAATGCACCATATCATTTTCAGGTCCTGGGGGGTGTTTCTTAGCCTTCCTTTCTATTTTCCCCCCTTAACTTCCTTGCCTTGCCTTCCCTCCCCACTCCCCAGACAAAATTTGGAAGACGCTTCCTGAATTACTAAAGAAAGTCAAGGTCAGCCCTATGTCATGTTTCTAAAGGAGATTGTGTTAGCAGTAGCCTCCCTCTTCCTTCATCAGAGGAAATCAAATCATACACTCCACAGGCTGTGGGATGGTCATCTGCATCAGACTGCTTGAGGTGTGCAAGAACTTCAGATGAGTTTTAAGCCTCTTAGCTTATAATACAAGCTAAGTTTTAGATACCTGGAGTAATGTTGCCTTACATTGATGAATCTTGGAGTTTACACAGTTCATTTCAACAAAAATAAATCTCTTCATCCCTCCTTAGGGAGTTCTTCAAAAAAACATGCAAAGATCAGAAAACCATTTATTACTTTACTTCAGTAAACAAAGCTCCAAAGACTTCTGGGGAAAGGATTTTATCCCAGTTACTTCTCATGCCAAAGAGAAAGGTACTATTTGCCTATTCTAGACTTTTAGAACCTAAAATCTTTAATCAGAAAGCTGAGATTCTCTGTGCTTTGCTAGCCTTTCTTATTCCCTCTGCTGTGGAAATCTGCTGCTTTTTTTTGCATCTCAGTACGTTTGTGCCTTAAATGTTTGCTTTCTTGAGAAAGCTCCTTATGTTTAACTTATGTGCCATCTCAAGTATTCACCAAGTGTCATTCAATGGTAACAGCACATTTTTGAACATCACTGTATTGATACACACCCGGGTGTGACTGATGGGCTCATCAGAATGTCCTCAGTGAGTTCTAAAGAAAGAAATGCTGTAAGCCGTGACTCTCTCTTAAACTGTAGTTGTTGGAATGGACTGGTAGGATTTGTCCACTGTTTTGCCCCAAGTTGACTAAGGTAACATGTAAAGGTGTGTAACAGTTTGCTGGTAGGAACTTACTGTTGTGTACTTCTGCACAGTTACATTTTTCCCACAAAGGCACCATTCTTAATGGTCTATGGATGCTTGCACCAGGAAATCTAATACAGATAGATTGTCTATATTCCCAATCTAGTATCTGACCACCTATGACGTTTTTGTGCCCTAGAAAGCTCTGTTTAATGCCTCACAATGTAAAGTGAGCAGCAGTGACCTTGCAGGTACCCAGTTTTGCCTCTGAGCTGTGACACTGAGAAGTTTGCCCATTTAGGCAGAGAAAATAATGCCAACGTTTTCACAGCTCAGTCACTGGGATTTCTGTGAAAGAAAAATCTCTTCCATTATTTCAAATTTGGGAGTAGTGTATGGGCTCCTGTGTCCTTTCTCCCTCTTCCTGGTGGCTCAGGACTATTATCATGTTTCAACTGAATGAGCTAAAGGAAGACATTTAAGCTAGCCTTGAAAAAAGGTCATCAGTGTGGCAAGGAGGCATAAAGCATATCAGGTATATTCTGTCCTGTAGTACCTTACAGTCATGGAAGTTGTACCTTTCCCAGGTACAGGCAGGACTTCCATTCCTCCTCCTGTTGTATGCTACATCTGTAGCACCCATGAAGAGTTGTACTGCTGGCAGAACTGCTGAGCACATTAGTGGAGATGATCACTTCATATGTATTTGGCAAATAGTGTCTTTTTCCTGAAAGTGTATTAAAAAAAATCTCATTCCAATGTGCATGATTCAGAGGTTTTGTATTGGTTAGTTGTCTGTTGCTGTATTTCTTACGTTGTGAGATCTCCTGTTCTTCTAGGCAGGAAAACATTTTTTAAAATCCAGCACAGCAGGCAGGTTATTCTCTGTGGGGGAGAACGTGACTTTCAGATAAGCTGCATAATTCACAGGGATGTGTCTGTCTCTGCATTTTCAGACTTATTGACCTATTCACAAGTTCTCTTCACTTGACATCCATGGATCTTGGATAGGTCAGTTCTTTGCCTTCATAGTTATGCTGTAAATTCACTTAGTTCCTTCCTGGTCCAGATGTCAATACATGCTTTATATTAAAACATTAGAGCTTATTATTGTTATTATTATTATTATTGCATCAGGAAAGAGCTCTTTTTTGGTATGCTCAGTTTTCCACAGTTTAATGAAATCAAAGAATATAAAATACTGTGCAAAAGACTTTACTCTAGAACAATTTGAGTCATGAAATTTCTTGAAACCAGGTTTGGTGGGGCTTTTTGCTTTCAAGCTAGTACAGCCATTATAGCCACTACATTTGCTGAAGGCTTTTGTGACGGATCATTGTTTTACAGCCACCACAGGAAGGAAAATCATGAAAGACGACTTCCAGAGAAGTCATTTTTCCCACAAAAAATATTTTTTTGTGTTTTCTTCTGCCACCAGTAGCAGAATTCAATCTTTATCAGTCCATAACCTTTTTTACATTCTCTTGCATTCATTCCCTCTCAGGTAAAGCTAAAAAATTCATCTCAGATCCTGTGAGAGTGTCAGCCTTCGATTTGCATGCCTAAACTCCTCAAGTGTCCATCAAAGGACAGAGTGAGTCAGTTATGCTCCAGGGCATTTTAACTGGAGGATGCCTGTTTTTCTTCCAGGAAGGTTTCAAGAAAAAACTGATTCCATGTTCTGCCTTAGACATACTTCCATAATTTAAAAGGTGTAGTGTTGTTCCTTAGAAACCAGTTGCTTTCTTTCGAAATTCTCTTCTTGATCTGGTACTTAGACTACTGTTTAGTAGAAATGATACCATAATCTCTGAAGCCAAGAAGGCCAGTGGATTTCTTGTCCTGATATTTTGAGTGGAGAAAAGCATTTATCAAGCTCTTCAAGGAGGCCAGTGTGCAGTCCCTGATGTTTGCCTATAATGAGACTTTTCAAAGATCCTCTGTGCATTCATACTCCTCAACAGTTGTTCAGTCTTCTCAATTACCCTATCTACAGCTAATGACAAAAGGAGACTACAGGAATAACTAGAATGACAAAGAGGGCTACAGGTCACTTTGAAGTCGCCTTAGGATTGGAAAGGGATTGGGAGTAAGAACCCTCTTGTAAGTGCTGGTAACTAACTCCAAGGTGTTTCATGAATGCATTTTGTGAGGTTGATATGGAGAGAACATCTTGGAGAGCTCTGTGACTGACCTGTAGTAATGACCAAATAGTAATGTGTAGTAACGAGTGTCGTAATGTGGTATTGTGAAGGGAAAACCACTTGCTTACTTCATTGAGGTGTCTATGAGGTCTGTTTAATTAGCTGAATCAAGCTTTCCATGCAGTTTCAGCTACTGAAAACCATGTGCTTGTTGTTTGTTCAGATTTTGAGAAATAAGAGGAACTAACTGTAAGTAATACAAAATGAGCATTATAATCAAAGCTTGAAAAAATATCCTAGGATTCTTATGGTCTTAAGATAAGACTTATTTGCATAGAGTCTTTGCTCAAATGAGAGAAACTATTGCCCCGGGCTTTTCAGTAATGTGTGGATGTATCTTGAAGTGTGTATGCATGTCTTTGCAGAATAAACAGCCAGTCAAATCACAGTACACAGTAGCTGTTGTCTATATTGTTTAAGTCAATGAAAAGATCTACAGATGTGGGGAAAAAGTGAACGGGTTAGTTTGCTCAACATGAATGGACACATTTCCACTTTAGAGACTACCATTCATGGAGAGGGGAGTCAGGGTATAATTTAATTTGAATAGTTCGCTATTCGGTTGGTTTGGTGGGTTTGTTCTGTGTTTTGTTTTGTTTTGTTTCTGGAGAAAACAGTCTCTCCTCTGGTCTTGAAAGATTTGCAATTGGAATTAGTATCTGTGTGCTCTTGTAAGATAAATGAGCCATATTTTTCAAACCTTTTGGCATGTCAGCTTAAAAAGAGTTGACAGAATGGAGACAGCAAGAGATGACCATTTGGAGTCTCACTGTATCGGAATAACTTAAGAGCCTTATTGTTTGTATATTGCCTTGGTTTTGCATTTTTTGGATTAATTTGTGTTTTGTATTGTTTTAATAGGTGATGCGGATGACGCTGTCAACGCTTAACTGGCGGCGTCGAGAAATGGTGAGGTGGTTGGTAACATGTGCAACAGAAGTAGGTATGTTCTGAGATACTGCTCAAGAACTCCTGTCCTTTCATCAGCTAATCTTAAAGAATTTGATCTTGTTTATCAATGCTCAGACTTGCAAGTGTCACATGCTTTCTGTTGTAAAAATGTTGTAAAATTCCTTCGATTAGAAGACAATTACGGTAATGACATAAGATTTTCTTGAGCATATGATAAAATAAGCACAGGTTGGGTTAGACTTAGTTGAACAACACAGTGAGCATGACCTTAATAAGTTGGGGGGAGTTGTGCTGTTGTGCTTTCACATGACTCTGTGATGTGGGGTATCCCAAACTTCCCCGCTCCACTCCCTGTGGGGTCTGGGTTGGTGTTGCAGCAGAGAAAAGGCATGTTCTACAACTTTGCTTGCCCAGGTTCAGGTACAGGTGCGACAGCAGCTGGGTCAGCTCTGGGCTGCTCAGAGTAGGAGGAACCAGAACACGTCTGAACAAACTACAGAGAATATCTGAGTAGCCAGCACTGGTGCTAGAAACAGGATCCCCTGGGGCGTGTGGGAGGCAGTCTCATTTTTTTTTAAGTCACGGGGTAAATCCAGGCTTAGAATGTAGTTCATCTTTGCAATGTGCCTATGACATTGTGTAGGCTGCTCCTCGGCCACTGAAATGCAGACCAAATACTACTGTACCCATCATCAAGTCCCACCGGGGAAGAAGAATAGGTGGGAGCAGAATCCAGCCTTATGCTTAGAGGGCAGCAGTGGGAGGATAGTGCGTTTAGCAGGGCATCCTCTGGCGAAGTGTAGAAATGAACAGATGTCCTGCGTGTCCTAGTGAGGAGATCTTCAGCTTGTGTACTCCCAATTGCTACCTTGCAAGATGAGGATGGAGTATCTGAAAGTGAAGGGCATTAAAAACTATGTAACTAACCATACAGCAGCTCTGGTGGTGGGTATAATGAAGTACTATGACAAGGGAGCAAGTTTAATTGTCACTAGAGATACTTCTGGAAAACATGCTTCTCTTTGCGTTTATTCCTTTCTCTTTCATACATTTGAGTTGGATTGTGTCTCAGTGATGGTTCTTGAGTTTCAGAACTTCAGAAGATTGCTGGTGCTTATTCTCTGGATCATTTTATCCTTTGCTTTGTGCTTAACTGGGAAATTAGCGTTGTCAGTAGCTTGGGGAAATGCAGCTTGCCTTTGCATGCCCTCACCCAGAAAGCGGTTTGTCTGCAAATTTTCAAGCCATGCTCTCGTTTTATTGCTTTTATATCTTTTCTAAGATAGTTATTACTGAGGCTATCTTACAGATATTAGTGCCTGGGTATTATATTTTGCAGTTTTATATTGGCAAATAAAATGCAGGTTTTAATACTGCTTGCAATTAGTTTACATATTCTAATAGAAGTACCCCATAAAGAACCTATAATGTCATGCAAAGTACTCTTGAGACTTAATCAAGTTGGTAAAGCAAGAAATCTGTTTATTAAAATGAAGACCTTGTGTTCTCTGGCCGTGCTGCATTTCTGAACGTGAGCGCACAGGAAGCATCAAGAGTCCTACAGGAAAATTAGGACCTCTGGATGTGGTTTAGGTGGACTCAACAGATGTGTGTAAACTACCTCTAGCAATAACCAGGCACTCTAGTTGCCTATAAGATGCAATTTATGGAAACCATCCATCACCCTTTCCCCCTTCATCCCCCTGCCGTGCAGACACACATGCGTGCGCGCGCACACAAACACACCCCAACAATAAGGTGATGCCAAGGAAAATTCCGCATTTCAAATATAAGCCGGTAGTGTGTGTTGCTTAGCATATTTCCATAATAAGGAGCTTGGTGTTCAGATGCACATCAATTTAGTGCAAGACCTATCTGAAAACCCTATTTGGGCAGTGTGGGGAAGCAGAGGGGTTGAAGCTTTTTGTGTCGTTCCTCCTCCCTCCCCCCCCAGCTTTTTTTAAGGTATGCTTATTATTAAATGGCATAATGTTTTATTAAGTGAGTCATTTATAGTACTTGAATGCTGTTTTGTGCATGTGCTGTACTTTCAGATGCACTTGGAAAAGAAAAAAGTCCTTTTTAAATGTTAAATGTGAGGGCTGGTTTTGAGTAACGTGATGACATGTTGAATTTTTGAGCTCTGTAACTCCACCCAAATGGGTGGAGTCCAAACTCATTATCGAAATTATCTTAAATAACAAGTAAAACAACTCAGCTATCAAACCAGAAGACTAAAGCAGATTCTTGCAGACCTTTTTGTTTTTGTTACTGTTCTCAGTGTCTCCATAATTGCTGTAGAGATTGCACAGTGGCCTGTATTTTCATAGCCTTTTCCAGACACGTTGTCTGCTTTAACCTGTGCTGCTGGGGTAGCTGCCCCTTCGTGGTACTGCTAACGTCTTAGACTTTGTTCAGCTCTTGTGCTGAATATTGTTATCTGGTCAGTCTTATCAGTTGTGGCTAATCCTTTCTCTCTCTCTCTCAGGTGTTTATGCACTGGATAGCATCATGCAAAGCTGGTTTACACTTTTCACTCCAACAGAAGCCACTAGTATTGTTGCTACAACAGTGATGTCCAACAGCACCATTGTCCGTCTGCATCTGGACTGCCATCAGCAGGAGAAGCTGGCTGGCAGTGCAAGGACGCTTGCTCTACAGTGTGCCATGAAGGATCCTCAAAACTGTGCCCTCTCTGCACTGACCTTATGTGAAAAGGATCACATAGCTTTTGAGACTGCTTACCAAATTGTTCTCGATGCTGCTACAACCGGCATGAGCTACTCGCAGCTTTTCACCATAGCACGATACATGGAGCACCGCGGTTACCCCATGCGGGCCTACAAGCTGGCCACTTTGGCCATGACGCATCTCAACCTGAGTTACAATCAGGACACGCCCCCTGCCAT